GAGGCAGTAATCAGTTTAAAATCGGGTACCTGATTTGTGCCTGATTTTTTATCTTTCGACCTGTGAATAGGAAGTATTAAACAAAATATATGAGACTGCCTTACTTATTTGGTATAATTTGGGCTATACTAAATCATCATGTTTAAGTCTTTTAACTAAATTAAAAGTCTGGAAGCAACAAGAGTCTCTTTATAATCTTACCTATAATCAATTTAAAGAATTACCAATTAAGTGGTGTAAAAATATTAATATAGATAATGAAAATAATCAGTTACAAGATCTTGCAACATTTTTGTTTTCAATTGTTCCATCTCAAGCTGTTTGTAAGAGAAACTTTTCAACAATTAAATAGCTTCTTGGTGATAGATGTATTCAATTAGACTTGTTACATATTGAATCTATTACAAAAATTAGATCTTTTTACATTTCAAATATAGAAAAAGAATTGTAAATTTATAGTAAAGATATTTCTGAGAATAAACTAAAAGAAAATTCTAACTATATACAACAAATAGAAAATTCTAAAGATGAAGATATCAAAAAAGATAATGATTTACAAGAAACATTATTTACTCATTTAAGCATTTTTCAAGTCATTAATTTGTCATTACTTGCATTTTTAGCTACAAATAATATTTTGTTTGAATCCACTACAAATAGATTAGCATTTTATGAAAGAGATCATGATTTAGGCAATATGGATTATGATTCAATTAATTTAGCACAACAAATAGTAAATAAAGAAAATAGTGAAATAAGCAACGATAGTAACAATTGAATTATAATATTTTATATATATAATTCAGTAAATTAGTTATAATTATTTTATTGAATTTTATAACTAATAAATCAATTACAATATAATTAGCTCTATAATATACAGGTGTTAGTAGTTATTTTTTGGTTATTTAATTAATAACTAATTTAAAAAAAAACTATACAATAAAAATGGTAAGATAAAATTAGAAAGTTGCTATTGCCACCCCATTTTTGCTAATGCCACTTTCCAATTTAAAAAAGTGCTCTGGAAGAGGTATTTTTATTAAGTAAACTCTTCTTTTGACCTTAATAAAAGTTGTTTATTGGGTCTTTCCGGTTCTAATAGTAGTAAAATCATTAAAATCGGACCAGTAGTTTCTTTAAAAAGTAAATAAAAGTTAACCAACTTCGGATATATATTTATTGGAAACTACTAGTCTGATTTTAATGATTTTACTACCATTAGAACCAGAAAGACCTGATAAACAACTTTTATTAAGGTCAAAAAAAGAGTTTACTTAATAAAAATACCTCTTCCGGAACACTTTTTTAAATTGGTGGTGGCATTAGCAACTTTCTTATTATATTATTAATATTACTTATTTTAACTATATTACTAATATTACTAGTTTTACTATCTTACCAATATTACTAGTTTCAACATATTACCAATATTATTAGTTTCACTATATTATCAATATTATTAGTTTCACTATATCACCAATATTTTTAATTTCACCATATCACCAATATTATTAGTTTCACCATATCATCAATATTATTAGTTTCACCATTTTATTAATTTAATAATTAAGTTGCATCTTTGATTTTTTAGTTTCACCAACTTTATTTGGTGAAATATATTAGTTTCACCAACAAGCTTAATAGTGACGCTATTCACAAATAAAAAAACAATAAAACAAAAGGATATACGCAAAATTGCGCAAGAAAATTTGATCTAACGAAATTTTTTTTTGATGCATTATTTATAATCACTAGTGTATAATATAGTTAATATCTTTATTCTCACTTGTCTATTTTCAAATCATTATTTCAGGATCACATGCACAGCACCAAGGTTCATGTGTGTTAAACTCATTACAATATGTATATTTGCTATATTCAGAATTTCTTTGTATTATTTAAATGATTTGTAAATTTTAATACAAATAATTTTATACTTACTATTTAATTAATTTAGTATTTAATAAATAAATAATTTATAATCATTAATTGCTAAGTTAAATTAAATTAATATTCTTTATACTTATTTAAATTAAGATGAATAAAATGAAATTAAATATTCAATATTCATGAACATAAATAGCTTATTTTAATTACTTCGTTTAATAAATGTTCTTTATACTTACTTTTTAAATTAATGCGAGTAAAAAGAAATTAAGTAGTAAATAATCATGAACTCAAATAGCTTATTTTAATTACTTCATTAATAAATATTCTTTATACTCAAATTAATGTGAATAAAATAGAAAATATTCATGAACTTGAATAGCTTATTTTAATTACTTAGTTTAATAAATGCTCTTTATACTTATATTCTAAATTGATTAAAATTATTTTAATATATTAATTAATTAATAGTCAACTATATTTAATCAATTATATATAATATATTTTAACCAATTTGACTATTAGTTAGTCTGTGTCAGTATTGGCTGTAAATTTAACTAAAAATATTTTATACTTACTTACTAAATAAATAATTTAAAATAATGCTTAATGATAAAAATAAATTATTAACTTAAATTTTAATAATTAATTCTTACTCTCTAAAATTTAAATAATTTTGAGAATTCTGTTTTAAAATAAAATTAGTTAATAAATAAATAACCTACTTGGCAATCCAATTTTTAAATTCATAATAACTCTTTTACACCAATGCTATATCTATAGCAAATAGCAGTTTTAAAAATTTCTATAGAGTTACCAGTCTTAGCCGATTTTAAATAATATTCAAATGCTTTATTCCTATCTATTTCAACTCCAACTCCTAAATAATAACAATGGCCACATTCTGTTAGAATTATTTGAATCTGAAATTTTAAGAAAATATAAAAAAAACTCTTTATGAGGTATAAAATAATTTTTTATTAACATATTTTTGTATTTACACAAATATCTTTTATTAATTTTATGTTTTAGGTGCTTGATTATTTTGGAAAAGTCTAACAATCTTCCCAAGCAAAAAAAAAAGGCTTCGAAGCATTGAATCAAACTTTAAACCTATTCAAAAAATAGTAGATGACATTAAAGCTTTCGAACGAGCAATAAAGCTTCCAAAAACTTGGAGTAGTTGTAACAAAAACACCTTTTATTAGCTTTAAGTTCAAATTTAAAGCTTTATTTATATATTTAAAAAAAATTAAATTTGAGTATAAACGCATTTTAAATATTCAAATCGAATATAATTTATATTGATAATTAAGTATATTTTTAAATTCTGATAAATAATATAAACAAATAAAATAAGTAATAAAAACTTTAATTATTTCTTCAAAATTCTCATAATTCAGTTATTCTTGTGCTTAGATTGAAATTTAAAAAGCGATTACATACCTGATTTTTGTAGTGTTCATATTTTTCATCTGATTTATTTTGAGGTATTCAAAGATATTGCTATTTGTTCACAAATGATTTTTATTCATTATAGCATTCTAACTAATTTTGTCTGTAACTATTAAGCATTTAACTCAAGTTTCAATTTCTAAGCTTGTGGATTAATAAAGTATCATGATACAGTAATAATATTATATTCATTTTGCATAAAAAAGATTTAAATAAAGATTTCTTTCAAAAAATTTAATCAAATTATTAAAAGTTTGTCTCAAAATAAAAGAACATTTATAAATGAACGCTTTAGGTTAAAAAAATTTTAAATAAATAATTTATTTAAATTATACATATTTCATATTGCTAATATGAGATGCCCCATATTAAAAGAGACTATTTTGCAATTTTTCAAAAATTGAGTTTATATTAGATTCATGTAAATTTTGGCATGATTGACACTTTTCAATTATAAATAAAAGTCAATTTGTATAATGAAAAATAGAGATAATATAAAGGAAAAATTACACAAGGCTTCCTAAGGCAAAGCACATCACAAGATTACCTGATAGTCATCTGTTACCTTTAACCAATCAAAATTGTGAAATTTGATTAATCCTGGATCAGTCCGAAAATCAAAACAAATGATTAAACTCAATTATCTCAAAATGAGATATATGTCAAAATGGCTCCTTTTAATATGAAGTACCCCATATAATTGCATAAAAATTCTGTAACTTGGAATTTACAGATAATTTGCATTAACTTATAAAATATATATCAAAATAATTTATTATCTTGTATGCTTCTAAAATTTGATAGTTAAGTTAATATAATTATTCTTTAGCAATCAGAAATGTTGTTATTTACATGACTATGTTCCTGGTATGTGATATTTCATCACTCTATTCCTTGTATGATTATTTTATGATGTTATAACAATATTAACAATTTTAAATTTTCAGTTAAATGCTTGTTCAAAACATGTTTGGTGTGCTTAGTTATACAAAAATTTATGGAAAAAACTGTTTTTATGTCAACTAATAACCTTAACAAGAAGAAATTAAATATAAACTTTTAACAAATATATTGCTCAAACAGGTGCTTCTATTAAAAATTTTAATAGTGGAACCTGTTTGAGCAATATATTTGTTAAAAGTCTAGTTTATATTCGATTTCTTCTTGTTAAGGTTATTAGTTGACATAAACAGTTTTTTTCATAAATTTTTGTACAAATAAGCACACCAAACATGTTTTGTAAAAATTTGCATTTTTGCCAAATTTTACAGTTCTGCAATTTTACTTATTTTCACAAATCGAATTTAAAAATCCTGTAAAAATCTGCATTTTCACAAAAAATTGCAGACCTGCACTAAAAAATTTTTCCCAATGTATATGTGTTTAGATTTTATAGTATATATATTTATTTATCTGCATGTGCAGCCTCAAGATGCTAGAAGGCATTTATGCACTAGCTAGTTTCAATGATTTCTAAAAAATAAATCCAGAAATCACACTTTAAATTTTTTTTTTATATTAGACCACACCAAGCTGATTTTTTGTTTAACATAACCCCCTCTCTAATTTTTAAAATTTTACATATAAATAATACATTATATTAACTAATCAAACTGCAGTATTAGTTTTTTTAAATTTTTTAATTTTTACAGCCAATAAAATCGCAGTGTTTTTTTTTTTGTTGATCTCCTCCTCCTCTATATTAAACAAAAAATCCGATTGGAGTGGCCTTATAAAAAAAAAAAATTATGAGTTTCATTATTTGTTACAGGTTTGTCATTTGTTACGAGTTTCATCATTTGTCACGAGTTTTATCATTTGTTGCGAGTTTTATCATTCGTTGCGAGTTTTGTCATTCATCATTTGTCAGGAAAAAACGTCCAAATATAGATATAATTTTCATTCTCCGTCACACAGATCACTCATTGTATCGACCAGTCAAAATATCACTACGGGATTAGTCAACCAATTAAATTGCGAAATTTACAAAAAGAAGAAACCACGGGATTCAATGAGATTCAAAAAATATGTTGTAAAGCAAAGTGAGAGCTTCATGTTTATTTAATTATTTTCAATATTCATATAAAAGATAAGTCAAGCGAGCCTTCCAAAAAATTATTGTAAAATAATATAAAAAAAAATTTATCAATTGTGTAACGATTTTATGACGTTCAATGTTTCCCCCTGTTAGTTCGAAGCTGCTTGATGAAGTTTCGTCATTCATCAGGCATCATTAGTAAGCACTGAAAAGTGCGATATACAAGATGTACATATTTGGTCACGTTTTATATATATATGTGCCACAGTATTTTTTTAAACAATAATTTCTTAATGACTACTAGGTCAAATTTGGTAATTTTTTTTTTTTAATCCATAGAATGAAAATAAAAAAAATTATTGAAATTGGTCAGTTATCGAGAAATATTCATATGAAATTTTAAAAAAATGTTTAACATAAAAGGCCACAATGTATTTTTTTAAACCATTTTTTTAATAATTTTTTTTATTTTCATTCTACAAGTTTATAAGATTAAAATAAAGTAAAAATTACCGAATGACCCAGTAGTCGTTGAGAAACCATCGCTAGAAGTTAAAAAAAAATACTGCGACACATATGATGTATCTAAAACGTAACCAAATATGTACATATTCCTACTCTAGAGCACTTTAATACTTATCATAATCAATTTATTGTCTATGTCACGGTGTGACAATTTGTCACTCATACGTACGTACGTACATAATTTTTTTAATTTGACGTGCGTGTGGTATTTTTCAAATACTGCGTATATTTAAAAAAAGATATGATTCAAAATCAAATGGTTTGCTTTAAGGAGAGCGATTGATATTTAACTCCGCTTTGTTTTCTGATAAGATTTGTCGTCTTTTTCCTTTCGTGTTGTTCAAAAATAGCTTTTTCGGTATCAAGTAGCCTTCTCTACATTAGACAAATACGTTAGTTTTTGATGGTTTTTATTTATAATAATTTATCTATCAACTTACTTGGAGCAATTTTAGAATGCAATATGCATCTTCCAATATGTCGCAATCATCAATATCAGCAGGTATTCTGCATCGATCTATCAACCTGAATCTATATACACCAGATTCCATCCAATCCATAGCGTAGAAATTCAATTCTAAACCTAAAATTGGATTCCATTAGCAAGCGTATTATTAAAATTTCTTCTCATATTAAACCTACCAAATTGAAGCCAGCCGAAAATTATAATATCTAATCTTTTTTCGTTCGATACATAATCACATTCTTTTAATAGACGATTTATACTATCCCGCATTGTTACCATTAATTTTACTTTATCCAAGAACCGTTTCTTGCGACAAGCTGTGGGAATCCCAAACTGTCCTAGTTCACCTGAAACCTCCCCAAAAAGTGCCTCGAATTTATTTGGTGTTTTTAGCAATGTTACTTTCATATCAACTTTTCTACCCATTCGTGCTTTTTTGAATGGATCCGATTTTTCATTACGGGCATCACTGCTTGAAAGAACATGAATCTCCCCCCTATATCAGAATAACTATCAACATCAAATATTCAATACCTTAATGAAAAGAGAATGAAATGACTTACCAGGAGTGTTTTATATGATTGGACGTGAATGTTCCATGAAACAGCAAATACGACGATGTCATTTTCAAGTGTTCTTCCGTCAACATTTCTTGAAAAAAATGCATATTATTTTTTCTATAATGTAATACAAAGTCAGAATGCGATACAAGATAATCAAGTACATAATTCACAATTAATACATACAAAAATTGTACGTTTGAATCAAAATGTTTTAGATCTTTATTCTCATCATTATTACCAAGTTTTTCGCAACTATTATTGAAGTATTCTTGAGTATCTTTTGAGGCCAATTCGCATTTCCATTTGATATGATCAGCAAAGTCTTGGGATAATTGCTGTAAATCGTTTTCTGTAATTTCTTTACATCCGTATAGACTTTCTCTGGTCAGATCGAGCACCCCCCAATATGCAGGGCTGTGAAATAATAAGATAAATAAATGGGTTAATAATCAGACCATGGTCACAAAAAGGATGCCATACATACGTGTATACTCTGCGGAATTTAGGAATCTTATTTTGATATGTTTGGAATGCATTCAACATGTCATCAAATATAAATTTAGATGAACCCTAGTGTGGATAGATAATGTGCTTATTAAATCTACTGTAAGCTCACACACAAAAAACATTAAGATCTTCCTTTGTTATCACTCGCTAACGGCAACTTTCTTTCCTCTTCAAGGGCATTTTCATCAATTTTTTCTATAATTTTACCTTCATTCGAATCATTAAATAGAAATATTATTCCATCATAACCTGGTAATTCGTCATCTTCTAATTTCCTTTTACGATTATTTTTGTGTGTTTGATTTTCTTCTGTAAATTCTTCATCGCTGTACACTTGAATAACATCCTTCTAAAGAAACATGAAAAGCACGATGATTAAATTGATTATTCGACTTATTGATCATACTAGCACTTAAAGTTGACCATACCGGTATTGCATCAAAGTTTCGTGAAATTTGAACATTTAATTTGTCTTCCTCCTCAACCTCTTCACCTTTTTTTATCTTTTCTCCTGCTGCACCGGTCAAATTTTCATTTGCTTGTTTCATGTAACCTTGTGCCATTTCACTTTTTGTCACAGATCCACATGAAAGGGTTACAAGTGAGTGAGCCTGGAAATTCTGTTCGCAAGCGAGCCGTGTTTTTTCAAACTCCCCAGTACCATTGAACTCAATTAGGTCTCTTGCAAAGCTGGCGATTGACATTGGAATATTTCTTGCTCTTTGAATAGCTTTCAAGTTGGCAGTCCATGTAATAAGAATTTCATTGAATGTTTTTGGCGCATCTGCAGAGTAAATAATAAAAGAATAGAAATTTTGAAATGACCATAGTCAGGCATCTATTTTCGCGAAAAAAGAGTCTTTCTTTCATTTGAGGCGATATGTTCTGTATTTGGTATCAACTACTGGGCCTAACATGTTTTGAAATAAAATTATACTAGGTCCAAAAAACTTATTTCTTAAATGCGAGAAGAACAAGTACCCCAGTAGGGATGGCAAATGTATTAAAACATCATTAGTGGAAGTTTATTTTGATTGTTTGTTACAGCTATTATCATAATTCCTGAAACACCTGACAAAAATTAGCTGAATGATTGTTTGGCCGATTCGGTTAAGTTAGTGATTCCGGCATGATCCATTATATATAATAAAAATAATAAAAGCTATTTTGTATTATGACCAATTATTATAACAATAATGTCA